TATCACGTGGGTCTCATACTTCAGTATGACTCGGAAGATCACTTCTGGGCGATCCCAAGGCCGGGAGTTCGAACCTCCCTCGGGACATGTCTTTTTGCCCTTTTTTTTTTCTCTCCTGGCTACATTTGATCTTTTTCGTCTCGTCACACAGATGATTGATATCCTCATGTTCGTTTTGAGTTCGACTTCCAGGGTCTTGGTGGAACGCACAAATTGCATCGTATAAGCATTTACAACCCTCTGCAGTCTGGATACCAGACTGTATGATTGCAGGGCTAATTCAGATCCGAGCATCGCCACAGCCTCAACAAGGCATGAACCACTACGATATCAATACAAAAGCATGACAGGCAGGCATTACTGGGTCACCACCATCCTTGTCCTCCCCGCTGTAGACTTACAAGACATAAGCACAGAGGACAAGTGGGGTGTCTACCCGAAATTGGGTCTTTAGCCCACGCAGGAAGCATCAACAACAGAGGCTGGATGCCGACCTGGCCACTTTGTATACTGAGGCTACTCTGTTGTCCATCATCCCGGTGTGTCTCGAGCATATGCCGCAGCACCTATTGGGGCCAGACGACTGTATCCTCTCTCGGCAGCTCATAGGGCGCCTCGAGATACGCATGTTCTGGCTCGGAGCTCTATAATACTATTAGTAGCTGAACCGATGTGCTCTCGCCAGCATCGTCCGCCATTTTCACGATCACCATGGAGGCAGTCCCGTGGGAGTAAGGCCGGCACACCTGTAGACAGTTCTCCCCTACCTGGTGTGCCTGCTCTCGCGTCAAATGATCTGTAGCAACAAGTCTTCATCCAAAGTTCCATCATTTTCGCATTTCCCACCCAGTCAGTCGGTATCTGGTCATGGGTCATAATATGGTGCCATGATTCAGCCGGCGTAGCCTACCGCGAGCACCGTAAGCACCAGCATGCGCAGCAGCTACGTATACTCGCCGTCGCGCGAGTCGATTAGCCCCCACGAACTTTACCCTTGATTGTAATCCAGGCAGGAGTATGTCATCCAGCCCAGCTCTGAGTATCATCGGCAGATGTACCTCGATATTTCTGGTCCATATACTCCCGTAGCATAGCGCTGCATCGTCTCATGTTGGAATGAGCACTGTCGGCCTTCTGTGCAGACCGGACAACTTGTCGGAGCGATACGCCGCGCCCAACGGGTGTAGTCATGTGGTGACTAACAGGTAGGCCGAAATGTCTTTGCGTAACCGCTTGTGGGGTTGCTCATGATGCTCAGCGAGTGGATGTATACACTGGGCAATGTAGACCTTTAACCAGCATCTGATCGACGGAATCCAAGTTCCTCGGCCCGATTTTTGTGTTGCTTTGTGGATGCCCCTTGTTCCAGACTTCACCGTGTCTGTCAAGTGTATGTCCATCTGCGGTGCGATTCCACTGGGATTCGTCGAGATAGTGGCAGGAGGGGCTGGATACGCTGGTCTATGATCTCTCCTCGTCGCCGTCGCGAAAAAAATATTTGTGTGTTCAGAATATCGAGGGCAGGACCTATGGTAGCCTCGCGAGATGACAAGTCAGCTAGGAATCCCGCGTGATCAATCGCGTCGTTTCCTAGTATCCTCGTGTCTCGGTGTACATTGTCCTGTCATTGACATCCCAGTGTAGATGAGTCCTCTGACCAGAGCTCCGCAAATGACTCAGATCTGGGCTCATTACGTTCTGCTGGCTTGGAACCAGGGAGCACTTCTCATAGAGTCACACCTTGTCTGACCTGAGGCGCGTCCATGTCAGGTCTAGGACCAGCCGGTGGGTTAAACCTGTGGCAGAGCAGGGTAATGCGATCCTTGTTGGTGCCGTGATCGGTGTTGACTGTTCAAAGCGATCGTTTGTTGCTTGAATTGGTCGCTCGGGCATTCTGCTGTGTTTGTTATCATCGGGATCGGACTGTGTTTGATTGATATTGATCCAGCTCCGCGGTGTGCCTAGTCCGAAGCTTCACCGTCTCTGGTCATCTCAATCTTCTTTTCGTCCCCCCCACCCCGGTTGTCTCGACTTCTGGCTCTCATTCGGTAGTGTGGAGCGCGTCTTCCTTCGCGTCTGCTGTATAGTTGCTAGCCCGTCTGATCTCGGGTTCAACCTGGGCGATCGAAATGGGTTGAACCCGGGCTGAACCTGCTGGCGATTTGTTCACTCTTTCATTGGGGCCGGGGGGGGGGTTTGTCCGCGTACCTTTCTGTCGAATAATTTGTCGGTCATTGCGATCGTGGGTGTGGATGCATCTGAGTTCTTGGTGCAGTCAGATCATATTGGCACGTCGTGATTCTTCACGGTCGTATAACCCGAGACTCAGTGTGTGTATCGTCCGCGAGCGTTTGTTGTAGATAGTGTCTATGACGCGTGAAATCTGTGCTCAACCTGCCCAGGCTTGATTTGGAGTTGTCAAAAAATGCGTGTTCATGATGGATTCGCCTCTGCGACGATATGTGAATCCTCGTGGCACCGAGCCTCGCTATGCGGAATTCCTAGATGTGACGACCTTTTCTTCGCGTTTTCCGGCCACTTTCACGTGGATCAGTCTCGGTGTCGAGAGTTTCTCGACCAGGTTGGCTTTCCATATATTCCGTCATAGCGAGTGTTTACCGCACGCATCACGCGTTCCGTGCTGGACCCGGGGCCGCGGCGCGGTACGGGGAAGCATGTACTGTACGTTATGAGCTCCGTGTGGTTGCGATGGTGCTCTGTTTTGCATCCGGGTAAGTACTGGCCCTGTAAGGGGTATTCCGAGGTGTGTTCTAGTCATCGTTGTCTTCCTGCTTTGGAGTGTTCGTTTTTCGAAGTTGTGAAGACTATGGTGCAACGATGTCTCATGCGGATGGGTCTGTACTGTATGTACTGTATGTAGAGTCAGTGCCAAGTCCCGCTCGAGCTTGGGTTGAACCCCCTAGCTATCACTATTTGATGTGCATGATTACACGCTTGATATCGGTGCTATGATGTCGATCTTGCTTCTGATGGCTCTGTAGTCTGTGCTTTCTGGAGTTCTGTCTTTATTTTGGTGTAATACTGCAGTGCTGCCATGATCTAGTAAATCGTAGGATGTTGTGGGGGTCGGATCGGGAGGTGATGTGATATATATTGTAGCATATACCATATACTTAGTATTAAGTCTTCAGCATTATACCTGATCTTCCACCATAACATACTAAATTCACGGTGCAAGGAGTACACAATCAAGAGTAACCAATTCCATTACCGACAAAGCCCATCAAAAGTAAACCACCCAGGAAGATCAGCGTGGAAAAGGGACATCAAAATTGACGTCGCGTAGAACATCCAAACTACAGACCAAGAATCGGATGAACACGACTATATCGAAACAGCGTAAAAAGCACAAGGGCGATGCATTATTCCTACATATATAACAATATACTAAGAGGCATCCAGAAGCCATGATCATACGTGAACATCTTCTATCAACATAGGAGAAGGGGATGATGCCTGAGGATTCGAACTAACAAGTTGACGGAGGCCCGCAATCACGCCGCGAAGCGACACGCGTCGCAGCACAACCGAACAAGGGAAACGCACAACAAAGGCAAAAACCAGACAGCGACCAGGAGCAAGCTACGCAGAGAGACACAGAGAAGATTGTTTGTTTGAGTTCTTTCGACCGTTTGTATTCATATTCGACCGCGTCTTAGGTAGGTCGCGCGATCGTGTTTAGCCTATGGCACCAGCCGGAAGCATAAAGGCCGCTATGATACAGAAATTCAAGCGCGCGCACTAGCAGACCAGTAGTGGACGCGTAAAAGTAAAATAAAGTGCGATAAAGCAAACCCAGACCCATGGATACTTGTAATAAAAAGATCAAGAACACCCCAACGTCCCAGTCATACCATAAACCAACCCGAAAAAGCAACCCGTCGCGTCACTGCTGCGGAAGGACAACTGACGCGCCGACCGCGCAGGATGGCTAAAAAGAAAAGAGCAGGAAAAGAAGAACGCGTTTAACCACCGAAACCGTAGAGGGTGCCTGAGAGAGAAAACAAGTTAGAATGCGGTGCATGCAGTGGATGCGTTGTTAGGATCAAGCTTACGGCCTTGACGCTTGAGAGCGTAGACGACATCGAGGGAGGTGACGGTCTTGCGCTTAGCGTGCTCAGTGTAGGTGACGGCGTCACGGATGACACCCTCGAGGAAGGTCTTGAGGACACCACGGGTCTCCTCGTAGATCATGGCAGAGATACGCTTGACACCACCACGACGAGCGAGACGGCGGATAGCGGGCTTGGTGATACCCTGGATGTTGTCACGCAAAATCTTGCGGTGACGCTTGGCACCACCCTTTCCGAGACCCTTTCCACCTTTGCCACCTATTGGAAACGCGTCATGTTAGATACATGATGATGCAGGAGATGGGAGAGTTGATTCCAAATGAGGAATCAGATCTAAATGGAAGCAATAGACTTACGTCCAGTCATGTTGACGGTTTGTTGTGAAACGGAATTAAAGTTGAATTAAAGTTGGTGAGGTGATAGGAGGTGGAGATAGAATGGGCGATTAAAGCTGGTGATAGATGTTAAGGGAAGAAGGAGGAGAGGCTTCCATGGGACGGGGGATTATTTGTATAGCGAAAGGCAGAGGGCGGGGAGGGCGTTGGAATCACACGCTAAGACCCGAATCAACCAATCAGCGAGCAGGATCCCGGACGGCGGGCTTGATCTGGCCGGCAACGTGACCGAGCAGTGGTGATTCCGCTGCCTCAGACTTGATCTGCCCCGGAATGTCCCCAACCACCGAGATCAACGATCAAAGATGATCAGAGACATTCTGGCCGATGGCTGCCATTCTACCAAGCATTCTGATAGCCCTTCATCCCTTCCCTGAGGTTGAGATCAAAGAGGTGGCAGGGGGGCATTCTAGATGCGTGATCCTGTGATCCTATTGGCTGATGGGCGGGAAGGAACTCGCTTAGCGCAGGACCGCCTTTTCCCTTCCCGCCCGAAACTGCCTGCTGGCCCTTTGATTTTGCCCGCCAAAAGTGAGACCCGAAATCAGAGCTTATGGTGTACTGCTTTCCGATCGATTTTTGGATCAAAGGAAACGGGCGCTAAGGCCCCCCTCCATTACTGCCAATTCACTCACCCACCCACCCCCCTCACACTTCACCACCCAGATCACTACCCACCCCTCTCGCTTACTACAAATACCGCCCCCCACCCACCTCCTCCATCCTTCTTACATCTCCCCAATCCCGTCGACACCTTACTACTTCTATCATCGACAACCATCCACAACTTTATCTTTCCATCTCAAGTCGACTTAATTCATCAAACCTAAACATCTAAAATGGCTAGAACCAAGCAGACTGCCCGTAAGTTCCATTTCACCTCACTGTCACTGCCGTTCCTCTTCAAGGGGGGTGTTCGTCGCCTCGCGTCATGGTCGCGACACGTCTCATTCCTTGAACGCGCCTCACATCACCCGAACCATCATCATGCTAACCACTTTGCTTTACAGGTAAGTCCACTGGTGGCAAGGCTCCCCGTAAGCAGCTCGCTTCCAAGGCTGCCCGCAAGGCCGCTCCCTCCACCGGCGGTGTCAAGAAGCCTCACCGTTACAAGCCCGGTAAGTTCTTTCTCAAAGCAAAGTAGTCACTGGATCATCTCTTCTAATACTTTCACCCCACAGGTACCGTTGCTCTCCGTGAAATCCGTCGCTACCAGAAGAGCACTGAGCTCCTCATCCGCAAGCTCCCCTTCCAGCGTCTGGTCCGTGAAATCGCCCAGGACTTCAAGTCCGACCTCCGCTTCCAGTCCTCTGCCATCGGTGCTCTCCAGGAGTCCGTTGAGGCCTACCTCGTCTCCCTCTTTGAGGACACCAACTTGTGCGCCATCCACGCCAAGCGTGTCACCATCCAGTCCAAGGACATCCAGCTTGCCCGCCGTCTCCGCGGTGAGCGCTCCTAGATTCATTTAATCTTCGAATGAGTCTATCTCTGCAACTGGTTGGCTCTTTTATGGGATGGCGATAACGGGGTTTCTTTCTTTGCTTATTTCATGACTACTGGCGATACATGATGGGTTTCTTCTTTTGCGAATTTCACAACGGGTCTCTCGGCAAATGGGTTTTGTGATTTCTCTTGCTACGCAATAAATAGTAGGCTGCCGAGTTTGTTTTTCTCGAGCGGCTCTGGGTGGATTGATGATCGTGGCGATGCATCCGTCCGAATATGTACATTACAGATGATTTGATTCGAGAAGCGACTTCCACCGGAAGCGCCATCGGATGGCATAGACGCGAAATGCAGGATCTATGACGATGCAATCCAATCCAGCTTTGTGATTCGCCTAGTGATGATGTTCTATCTCTTTAGTGGTAGACTAAATCCTGGTCTGATGACATATGCTTTGTAGTCTGACTCCTTGTGTAGGTTCTGTTCCTTCCGCCATGGCTGGGAGGAGAGAGTCTGGCGAGCCGCGACCGCGCCGCGATCCCGAGAATGTGACGTCCGAGAAGATCCTCATGACGTTTCTCAGTAACGTCTGCCCTCCCCTGCAGCATCCCGATTCTACTTTACTCGTTTGTAGACAATTTACTCTTGCATGAAGGGACCAACCCATCCTTTCCTGACTCATAGGGGCTCATCCTTCGCTCACCTGGCGGGGTGGCGAAATGGGCCGAAAATACCCTGGCAAATTAGACGAATAGTGGGCGACCGACCGATGGACGAACCCCTGGGGAGCCAGCCAGCCAGCCGTCTAGAGTCTTTCCGTCATTTCTCGAAGATTATAAGAACCAGGAACAAATTCGCCATTCTAGGTTTTTTTCCCTTCTATCGATGTGATGCCTGCGGCTTTCGACTTTTGTGTTCTAGGAAGAAAAGTCGGATTGTTTTACAGAGTATTTGGACGGTGCTTTGTAGGTAGATCGGTCACGGTCTCTGTCGCTGCGATGGCGATGGCAATGGCGATGGCGATGGGCCGGTTCGGGCGGAAATGGACGGACGGGTTCTTTTGGACGAGGCGACTCTGGAAGTGACGGATTGGCGAAGAGGTGGGGGTCATGATGAGATCAAGACGGCTCTATTGTGAGAGAGAGTGGCAAATGGCTTGGAGCCTGTATCTAGGACTTTGAAAGGGGTTAGTACTGTTTACTGCGACCGCGAAAAGGGTTCACCTGAAGGAATTATCGCCTTGAGAAACGATAGTAGGTCGTCGTGGCTGTTACTAGTACAGGAGGTCACCAGTCGGGCGAATTCTGCGGGTTTGGGAACTGCGACACGTCTGCTCTGGGTGTACCTCCATGATGTCGATTATCTCCAGCGTTGATGGATTAAGAATATACGCGGTCTTATTGTGTCAAGGTAAGGACCCAGAGATCTTGCTTTATCATGCGAAGAGAGTAAGTTAAGAAGATTGCTGTATCTATAGGCCCTTGGTCCAAGCGTCGGCTGAGCTGCCCTGGGCAAGTTAGGCTTACTGCATAGGTATGGACTATAGAGTGACTAGAGCCCGCGGGCGCATTCTCCCCACTCACTCCCGCCAGCGCCTCTTATCGATAGTCGATCCTGAATCGTCTCAGCCTCAGAAGACTTCTCCATCATACAGAGGGGACTGTCTCATTCTTCTGGCTCAATCTAGAGTCTTTGCAGCATATAAACAACTCAATATCTGAGCCATAGTAGCATTTGGGTCAGATTCATACCATCTTGATGGAAGATATGAGGCGTGCCCCGTTTGTTCTCGATGCCCTAGCCACTCAAAGCACTCAGCCACAGATTGAATCTCTATGACGATGTTGCAATCGACGGCCTAGCCTCGTCATGATCCCAACATTAAAAATGCAGCGCGATCGAAGCCAAGTTTCCGATCTTGACCTGCAGTTGAGACAGAAGAGAACGAAAGAACCGGCGAGGGAAGGCAGTCTTCCCAAAAAATGAGTGTGTCAACATCTGAGGACTTGCACGGAATCAGTCGATCAAAGAGGTGGCGCCGTTCGGACCTGATGACTTGAGGCGAAGTCTTCCGACTGCAATCTGCCAAGCGGACCAGTTGTCATCCTGCACTCTCCATGCTTGTGGAGGTATGGAAACGTTACATGGTGCATAAAGCATAAAACCTTGTGCTATACAATGGCTACCTCAAGTCGGAAAAGCTTACGTGCAATTGCCACGTCGTTATGTCGCGTGCTGTGTCCGAATAGCTCAAAAGTCACAAGACCTTTGGCGCGATCTGCTCGGAAGATTTTGTTCCTTTTGTTTGTCGATGTTGCTCCATGATGGAGCCTCAACTAACGATGGCAGCGAGGAGCCAGATGTGTCTTGTAAGTCCGACTAGACCCGGGCAAAAAGTCATGGTGATACGACCCGGCAGCGCAGCATGCACCGGCTAAGTCATCCCCGATTGGCAAAGGATTTGGCCCGAGAGAAAGGAGCACAGACGCGAGGCTTGAGGCTCGGCTCAGATATCATAAGGACGAAACCGAGACAGTCACCTGCAGCCCACCTACTCGTACCAGGTGTCACTTCCCTGATCTGGATTGCGATCAGTCCATCCCCATCCGCATGGCCCCCCCTCTCCGGATCGACGGGGCCCGGGAGAAAGGGAACAGGTCGAATGCAAGTCAGACCGCCGGGTGCGCGTTCTGCTCTTCAATTCGTATTCTTCAGTGTTAGTTGGTAGCACGGTCGGGGGATGCGGTGTGACCTCTCTTCGCTTACACTCCTCGATGAACTACTGAGTAAAAGGGCAGGGGGGCAATCAAGCCACTGGCGCCTGCGGAAGATTCCTCGAGAAAAGGACAAGACCGCCAATTCACAGCTTGCTTCTCCGGAACAGACTTTGCATTATGAACCTTTTTTTGATGCAAATGTTGACTGAATGCCGATCACAAAGCTTTTATGGACCTTCATAAAATCCAAGCGTCTGATATAACGGTTAGATCATGAGTAGAAATGATTAAGATGAAGTAGTCCAGCAGGCAGTCGACTAGCTGGTTAGCGATATGCGAGTGGTGGGGCGGCGGCGTAATCCGACTTTCATCTATCTATATTGGGGATGATTTGTTCCTGCAAAGTGCTGAGGCCTGAGTATCATCCCAATCTCGACCCCTGCAAAATGGCCAGTAGCTGCATGTTAATACTGACGGGCCTGTGGCATAGTTGACTCGTCTCTACTCTGTACACTCAGGCTACTTGACCGAGCCATTATCTCTGAGCTGCTTTATAGTTTGCTAATATGACCGAGATCGTGACGGCAGTGTTGTTGACTATGCTATGAAAGGCCACGCAAGGCCTGTTATGCAAGAAACAATCTTTAGTCAATAGTCGGATATTGCGCTTGATTCGGCCCACTTTGAGCAGGAAGATGATTGTTAATCATGTTGTTTATGAAGTCGGATTATCGTCGGGATCCCGTAGCCCGCTTGGCGTGTCTGAATCATTTCTTCCGTACCGTAGGAAAGAATTCTCCCTCTGATGTTCTAGTTCGACTCATCATATCCATCCATGGAACTGCCCGTTCTAGAAAAACGCTAAGCCCGTCCCGGGACTTCTATGCGACCCGATGCAGCATAAGGTTCTGAAATGCATGTCACAATGATGATATCTCTTTCTCTCACACCCCGATCGGCCATCATCGTCGAGCAGGTTTTCTGCCATTGTTCTCATGATCAGTCCAGTCCCATCATTCAACATCCCGCTCCGATCCTTCGACGGTGGGCTGCTGTCCATAATCTCCCGCTAAACAATCTGAAACTGCTATATCTGGGCTAGGACCGTGGGTTATGTAAGGCAGCTATCTGTCTATCCCCTGGACCTCGGTAAGTTCCCCTGTCGAAAGATAAAAATTCCACCACACAGGATTCCCCCCACATCAGCACTTTTCTGTTCATCACCGACTAATCATATCGAGCCCTCGCAGACGCCATCGGGACTGCCGTCCACGAGGTGTGCGGACTTGCCCATGGAACCAGAATTTCGAGCCTCCTGGGTGGGTTCGTCGGCCCACATTGGCTGAGGCCATGCAGTCTCGCCCGCCCCAGTGATGAATTTGTGCCCTGCATAAGCCGGCCTCTGTGCACGAATATCGGCAGAAAGTCCCCGTTCTGGGAATCACTGGACTGGTGTGTCCCTGGATTCCTCGCTTTGGTCTCAGACCGGCGAGGATCCGAGGCTAAAGTCCCTACAACGATTAGTCGTTCCCGTCTGTAGCGCCAGGGCAAGATGACGCCGTGGTGGCCGTGGTGGGACAATGCCAGGTGGTGCAGACATTAGCAGAAATTTCTAGCCCCTCCTCTCCTTAGTCGTTAGGCCGCTGTATATATCCGATGCCATGTCCCTCGATCGTACGTAGGTTGTTTCGGTTTCAAGCTGAAGATCAGTCATTGATTGATCATACCTACGTGATTTGATCGTCGTCTCTAGACGTCGGCTAAAGAGATTTACCCAGCAGCTGGTTACACCGACTATATTTTAGTCGCCTAGCCTGCTACTATACATCACGGTTTCATTCGGTCACTACTAACAACGGTTGTCTGTTTGGACCCTTGGTGGTTACCTTAAACGGCTTCGGTCGAGCAAGCCTTCTGGAAGCACAGTCAATTTACCTAATCTGTACTTCAACCAATAACCCCTTACGATCAGCCAACTCTGTCAGCTACCTACCTGGTCGACTACCAATCCTCACCAAGAATTCGCCCTTCTCCCTCCACAATGGCCAACAACAAGGGGGACAGTGGGCCTTCGGCCATCGCTATTGCCAGCAACAAGATCCCATTCTGGCGTCTGTTGACCGACCAAGGCGTGTTAACTCAGGAAATCGTCGATCATCACTATCCTGGATCCGGTACCGATGAGGATCCGTATGCAGTCACTTGGCTCCCCCAGGATCCCCGCAACCCCATGCAGTTCAGCGAGACGAAGAAGTGGACTTTCACCATGATGATGGCGCTTGCGACCTTGGCCGTCGCCCTTGTGTCATCAGCCTACACTGGTGGTATTGTCGAGATTGAAGAAGACTTCGGAATCGGTACCGAAGTTGCGACCCTTGGTGTCTCTCTCTTCGTTCTTGGTTTCGCTATTGGTAAGCTCCGCAATCTGTCA